ATTAATTAATTTAAAATTATTTTTATAAAAAATATTTGTGATTATTTGAAAAAATAAAATGATTTTAAATTATTTGCCTTTTTAAATGCAAGGATAAATAACTGGCTCGACTTTAGGTCATGCTTAATCTGATAGGTTTTTCTCATGGCTCATGTCACGCTCATGGGACGCATTTTAAGCTCAAGCGTCCCATGAGCTTAAAATCTCATGGGACGGATGTACTAAAGAGTGAGCCAAATATATTTACGTGGATATTAAAAAATATATTTAAGAAATAATGCACTTTATTAATTTAATTTACAATTGTTTTAAGAATTTAAATTAGTTTTTGCCTCAAAAACTGAAAAAAAGTTTATTAATGGAGAGCTCGTTTACAAGAGAAATTCTTTTGAGAATAAAACTTTAAACCAACAATTTGTTTTTATTCAAGATTAGAACCTTTAATTGATGATGGAAATTATTATTTTGAAATGGATTATAAAAGGAATAAATAGAAATATAAAAAAATAAAAGCAAAAAATTTTATTGCTAAAAAAACAAAAAAATTATTTTAAAATTAAGAGAAATTAAAAATTATTTAATGAATGATTGTTTAATAGCTGAGAAATTAATTAAAGAAGAAATTGAAGAAAATTAAATATTTTTTGAGAGAAAAATGTTTATTTTATATAATAAAAAAATCTTTGCTTTTAATCAAAACTTTTACAAATCATTAGGAATATCTTATGTATGTTATAGTATACAAGAGCAGTGATTTCACTTTTTATTATTTATTATTAACCTTTTTCTAAGTATAATTTAAAAAAAACAATTATTAAAAAATTTAAAATTTAATTTTTATACATAGATGTTTTTAATCCCCTTCAAAAAATATATTTTATTCTTACATTTTCCCGATTATTGAAAAAAAATATTCAGCATTACTTTAATCACGTCATTAACGCATTCTGGCTACTTTTCTATTATTACTTGTTTTCTCCCATCCATTTGTGCAAAAAAATTCATTATTTTTGTTGTTGTTGTTCACTTTTTTTTATTTTTCTCCATACTATGTAGCAATATTTGTAGATATCTAAGAGGAATTTATTTAATTAAAAAGAATTTTCTGCATAATCCCAAAAAAATAAATATTTTAATGTTCGCCTTCCTTTCAATTTTGTTTAGCCTTGAAAAAATTTTATTTTGCCTCAACATACCTACACAAAACTCTTTTTCTTTCATTTCTCCATAATTCTGATTTACTTCTTAAATTTAAATTATTTTTTAATTTAATATTTTTTTTTGTTTATTTAAACAATCGAAAACAGCCAAAAATGCCAATGAAAATCACCGATAAAATCGGTGCGTGTTTTTAATCTTTATAATTTGCGCGGCGGATGTAAAGGCGACCCAACCAGATTTTGTTTTTATATTTTTTTATTTATTTTATATTTTACTCTCATTTTTGTGTTAAATATATATAAACATTTAAATTTTTGTTTTTTCCTTCTTTGTCCAAAAAATATTTTTATTTTTTTTTCTTCAAAATTTCCATTTGTGTGGTCTATCGCTTCTTAATTCTTCTACCTTCTCTCCCAACTAATTTTAAAATTAAGCTAATTATTTTTGTTTTTTTTGGCTTTTGAATTGATCTTTTATTTTTGTTTAGAATTACATACTAGTTTTAATTTCAGAATTTAAGTAAAACAAAATCAGAATTTCTTAGAAAACTAAAAATTTATTTAAAAAACAACAATTGACACAAAAATAAGAATTTTAAAATAATTTTCAAATTTTTACCCAATTACTATATCAGAATTTTGATATTACTTACAGATATTTTTAAATTTAAATTCTGATTTCTAATTGCATTTGAATATTTTACAAATTCTGATTTTTCTTAAATCCTTCTTTAATAATTATTTCTTAAGATAATAAAAAGTAGAGAAAATATATAAACAAAATTTTCTTCTTTTTTATCGTTAAATAATTATCAAAACATTACAAATTATTTATATTACCTTCCTTTACTTTCACTTTTCCTATTCATTTATTTAAAAATTATTTTTTTTTCACTTTTTTAATGAACGGGATATATAAAAAATAAATAAATAGAAAGGATATGGGGCGTACGAGAATTTTAGATTTCTATCAAAAAAAAAAGAAAACGCGCGCAAGTATTTTCTGCGTGTGCCACCACAAAAAGCGATCCATAGAAGATAAAGGGAAGGGAGAAAAATAAATATAATTTATTAGATTTTAAGAAAGGATTTTAAAAACAAAAAAAAAATTTTTGTTGTTTATATGGGGATGCGGTCCATTACTTTTCGGCTCTAAAATAAATCTGTGTATGTAAAGTATTCAGGAATTATTAATCTATTAAATCATAAAAAAATAAATAAATTAGAAAAGGAAATTTTATTAGAAAAATTTCAAGCTGAACGCCTTTCCTTCAAATTAAATTTTAATTCTATTTGAATGTACAGTCCATAAATTTTCAGGATATAAAATTATTAAAGAAGATATTTACTAATATAACAAACTGCTATTTAGATAAAACAATCTCGAATTTTTTAAAGAATTTCTAAATAATTATTGCTTGCTTTAGCAATTTATTTTTGAGATTTCTTGCATTGTTAAGAATTTGTTTTTTTTTGAAATTGTTTAATGCTTGCAAAAATAAAAAAATTATACTTGCATTTCCTAATCCTGAATTTACTATTATAAATTCGATTGATTTTAGAAATTTAATAAATTATTAGTTTTTAAATAAAAACAAAATTAACAAATTGTTTCTCTGATTAATAAACATAAGATTAATCATTATAAACATAAATTTCTTATGGATTAAAAACCTGCTCTTATTTATTCTATTTGTTGAGTACGCGTTGATTAAATATGTTTATTTTGCTTTTAATTATTTTTTGATCAAAAATCATAATAATTGATTTATAACAAGTATTTATTATAACCTCACATTGTAGACGAGGCATATCGGGTAAATTAATTGGTGGAACTGACATTTGGACATAATTACTAATTAATTAAAATTTTTTAATTAGAATCCAAATTGGATTTCCCTTTTTTCCTTCTTCAAATTAATTAAAAATATATTTTTTTAAATTATTACGGGATAATTATTGAGGATATCCAAAAATCTCTCCCTCTCCACACTCCCCCTTTTTTCTCCTCTCTCAATTAATTAAAAATATATTTAAAGTAAATTTATTTATGAATGCATTTTTTGACTATATTATTTTGTTTATTACTTCAAATATATTTTATCCAATGTAAGCCACAATTTAATGAAGAAAATCGACAAAATTTTGCCGTTGACAATCATCACCAACAATTTTCATCTATACAAAAGTTTAAAAATAAAATTTAAAAAATTATGAGTAAATATTACTTTTAAGTTTTGAACATTCATTAAAAGAAAGGCATAATGAAAGGGATAATATTGGTAATGGAGATAGAAGGACAGCTTTTGCTGCTCCAACAAATAATATTTTAAGACCACAACAAAAACAACCTTTTAATTCTGTTGCATTAAATGGAGAAAATAAACAATTTTTTAGTTAGTTTTTAAGAGTTGTGACTATTATTTGATTTTTTTCTTTTGGAAAAATTTTAAATATTTTTTAACAAAATATCTCTTTATAAATTCTTCCCTTTAATCAGAATTTTTAATATTAAGTAGAGAACTTCTCAAATTTTCAGCCCCTGATTCAGACTTCGGATTCAAGGCCTAAAACCCTAGAAACTTTGATTTTTTAGACCCTTAATAAATATGGATAAGAATAATTCTGAATACGTGGATCCCGTTTTTTCTATAAATATTTAGAAATAATTATTATAGTATTCCTAAAAATTTAAAATTCTTTTAAATTTAATCTCATAAAGAATAAAATTAATAATCTAGAAATTCATTACCGAGACGGAATACAAAAAGCAATTTTTGATGAAACACAGAGACGTGCCCCGCCTGATTTTGGTTTGAGATTTAGTAAAGTTAAAAATATTAAGAGAAATATATACTTGTTAAAAATAAAATACTAATTTTAAAAATCAGAAATTTAAACTATATTTATTCGTAAATAAATTAAAAATAAAATATAAATTATTTTAACAGAAGAAAGTAATGATGTTGCTGGGAGAAATTTTGATATATACGATGACTTAAGCCTTGTAGAACCACATAGAGGTACTATTTCCTTTTTGGAATAAAATATTTTAATTTAAAGAATCATCAATATTTGTTCCTTTAATTTATCGAAATGAAACTTCTTCAGAGGAGGCTTCAAATGAAAAGAAAAAATTATTTTTAACATTAAGACCACAAAAAGTTCAACCGACTATCAGGCCTTTAGTTGCACCAGAATTAATTGGAAGACAACAAATTAGTGTTAGGTAGAGAGAAATAAATAAATTTAAGGGAAAAAGAAAATTTATTTTGAAGAACAACAAGTCCACGTCCAACAACTCCAATAATTGGAAGGCCCCTTTCACAACAAACATTTGCTCAACTTGTCCCTTCACAAACGGTTCTTCCTATTCAACCAACAACTATCCGTCCATTACCACAACCTAGTAGAAGACCTCCTCCACAACAACCTCAATTTCCTCAACAAGGATTTCAAGTTTTTAATTAATTTTTTAAAACTTCATTTAAATTTTAGCAACAATCCCGTTTTATTTCAACACCCCCAACAACACAACAAACAAGTTTTCAAACATCAAATAATCCTATACCAAATGAAAACATTGCAAGTATTCGGACTGGGGGTATGTTTTGTTGTGAATAAATTTAGGGAGAATTTTAAAAAATAACAAACAAATACACAATCATTCTACATATCAGAATTTAATCAGAATTTTATTCAAACATTTTCTCCCCCAAAATTTAGTTTGCCAACAAAGTATTTTCTATACAACCCAACAAGTTACCGGTGTTGATATTTTAAAAGCCTATACTCACTTTGCTGTTGTTGTATCTGTTGACCAATGTGCCCGAACTTGTCATGAATTTAATTGTGATGTAATTAAATATATTTTTAATAAAAAATAAAAATATTTTTTTAAATTAAAGGTTGCAATTCTTGATCCAAATACTAGACATTGTCAATTTAAGTAATTAATATTTAACTAAATATTTTAATTTCTAATTTTAGCCCTTCAACAGCATTTCGTCTTTCATCTGAATGTCCCCAATGGCCGAATCCTTTGTACAGGTAGTTAAATTGGAAAATAAAAAGTTTATGTTAAATTTAGGAACAATGCAGTGTTGGGCACTGAATTAATCAGAATTCAATGTATAACATGTCAGCGAAAGAAAAGTAAATTTATTACTAACAAACATTCCACAAACCAAGATTAAAAAAATACAATAAACAATTTACAGAAAATAATTATTTACTTAGCTTGTAACATTATTTTCGATACCCTTACATTGTTTGATTATTAAATTGCCAAATCTGGGTTTTTTAGAGAATCAAAAAATTCAGAACAAAATATTTTCTTCTAGGTGGGGGTATAAATCTTTGAGATTTTTTTATTTTTATGAATATTCTTTAAAACATTATTCATTTTTTATTATATTTTAACAAATCAGAACGTGTTGTCTTCCTTCCAAATGCTCAACGATTACCTCCATTAGCTTTTGCAAATTTACCTTCGCCTAATTTTAATAATCAACAACAACAAACTTTTGTAATTTAATTTTTTTAAATAATTATTTTAATTTTTCTTAAAGAATTTGAGACATCCACAATTTCCCCAATTTAATGAAAATAATCAAAATAGCGATTCTATACAACGGTGACTCCTTTATTAAAAACTCCTTTCTTTAAAAAAATTCTTTAAATTCCTCAGAGTAGCTAATGCTGTAAAAACAACAAATTCCAACAGTTTTGGAAAAAATCCTCTTATTCGTCCACCGATTACTGCAATGGGTAGAAGGACAGAATTAGTAAGAGATGGATTTCATAAAATAAATAGGTAATTTATTTAATTAAATATTTTAAAGTTATTTTTAAAAATACATATTTTAATTAATGGAGAAAATTTATTAAAATTTAAACTAGCGATGGGTTTGGCCACTGGAATTGATATCAGGACACTGTGGCAGTAAAATACATCGGGGGTTTTTTTAGGTTACGAAACTTCTGCCCGTTGGAAAGCCTAACGGCTTTGGGGGCGCGCTTCGCGCGCCGCTAGCGATTTTTTATGCCTGGAAGAAAATATTAGCCTCGTTGGGACTCATCCTTTCACTTAGAGTCACTTCGGGCCTTCGGCCCTCGTCTTTCTCCCATTCGGACTCATCCTTTCAATTAGAGACACTTCAGGTCTCGTCTTTCTCACGTTTGGACTCATCCTTTCACTTAGAGTCACTTCGGGCCTTCGGCCCTCGTCTTTCTCCCATTCGGACTCATCCTTTCAATTAGAGACACTTCAGGTCTCGTCTTTCTCACGTTTGGACTCATCCTTCCACTTAGAGTCACTTCGGGCCTTCGGCCCTCGTCTTTCTCCCATTCGGACTCATCCTTTCAATTAGAGACACTTCAGGTCTCGTCTTTCTCACGTTTGGACTCATCCTTCCACTTAGAGTCACTTCGGGCTTTCGGCCCTCGTCTTTCTCCCATTCGGACTCATCCTTTCAATTAGAGACACTTTTTTCTCACTTTTAGATGGGTGTCAGCTCGGGCCTTCGGCCCTCGCCCTTCCTTTTAGATGGGTGTCAGCTCGGGCCTTCGGCCCTCGTCTTCCCCTCGATTGGACTCATCCTTCCACTTAGACTCATCCTTAAACCCTCGTCCTCTCTTTTAGATGTGTGTCAGCTCGGGCCTTCGGCCCTCGCCCTCCCTTTTAGATCGTTGTCAGCTCGGGCCTTTGGCCCTCGCCATAACTTTTAGATGGGTGTCACTTCGGGCCTTCGGCCCTCGTTTTCCCCTCATTTTTCCTCGATTGGACTCATCCTTCCACTTAGAGTCACTTCGGGCCTTCGGCCCTCGTCTTCCCCTCGATTGGACTCATTTTTTCAATTAGAGTCATTTCCGGCCTTCGGCCCTCGCCCTCCCTTTTAGATGGGTGTCAGCTCGGGCCTTCGGCCCTCGCCCTCCCTTTTAGATGGTTGTCAGCTCGGGCCTTTGGCCCTCGCCCTAACTTTTAGATGGGTTTCGGCCCTCGTCTTCTTTTCGGCCCTTGTCTTCTTCTTCGGCCCTCGTCTTCCCCTCATTTTTCCTCGATTGGACTCATCCTTCCACTTAGAGTCACCTTCCACTTAGAGTCACTCATCCTTCCACTTAGAGTCACTTAGAGTCACTTCGGCCCTTGCCCTCACTTTTAGATGGGTGTCAGCTCGGGCCTTCGGCCCTTGCCCTCACTTTTAGATGGGTGTCAGCTCGGGCCTTCGGCCCTCGCCCTCCCTTTTAGATGGGTGTCAGCTCGGGCCTTCGGCCCTCGCCCTCCCTTTTAGATGGGTGTCAGCTCGGGCCTTCGGCCCTCGCTCTCCCTTTTAGATGGGTGTCAGCTCGGGCCTTCGGCCCTTGGCCTCACTTTTAGATGGGTGACAGCTCGGGCCTTCGGCCCTTGCCCTCACTTTTAGATGGGTGTCAGCTCGGGCCTTCGGCCCTTGCCCTCACTTTTAGATGGGTGTCAGCTCGGGCCTTCGGCCCTCGCCCTCCCTTTTAGATGGGTGTCAGCTCGGGCCTTCGGCCCTCGCCCTCCCTTTTAGATGGGTGTCAGCTCGGGCCTTCGGCCCTCGCCCTCCCTTTTAGATCCCCAGTTGGGACTCATATTTCCACTTAGAGTCACTTAGAGTCACTTCCCTCGTCTTCCCCTCCCATTGGGACTCGTCCTTTCAATTAGAAACACTTCGGGCCTTCGGCCCTCGTCTTCCCAGCGGTTGTGACTCTTCCTTCCACTTAGAGTCACTTCGGGCCTTCGGCCCTCGTTTTGCCCTCGATTGGACTCTTCCTTCCTTTTAGAGTCACTTCGGGCCTTCGGCCCTCGTCTTCGCCTCGATTGGGCTCATCCTTTCAAGTAGAGTAACTTCGGGCCTTCTGCCTTCGTTCCCCCTCGATTGGACTCATCCTTTCAAGAAGAACAAAATTTCGAAGCAGAAACTTCACGAAGAAACTGCTTCACGAAGCATTTCTGCTTCGGAACCATAACAGGATCCAGTTATCCCTGCACAAAATTTTCCCTAATATACAAAATTCACCCCTAAGTTCTTCTACGGTTTGCCCCGCATGGTCAGAGACGGAGAAAAATTTCGCCTCTCTGCCATCAACTTCACCTGTCAATCATTTTTCCTCTCTTCCTCCCATCATTCTCCGGGTACGGTACTCAACCCAACAAATTTTCGAACCTCTGTACATTCGTCAAAATGTACCGAAAAATTTCGAGAAAAATATTTTTATACCCAGCTCGATGAGAGCTTTCGATAGATATCTCATTTACCCTATTTATACCCACTTTGAAAAAAATTTTTTTTGGCCGGAAATTTCAGCTGAAAAAAATCACTGAAATTTTTAAAAAATCATATCTGGCCCAAAGTAAACCTTTTTTATAAATTTTAAAATTCTATAAGATGCAGAAAATTCTTCTCTATCCAGGAAAAATACTGTCGGCCCAAACCGCCGGCAAAAATCCCGGAAAAATTTCGAAAAACCAAAAAATTTTGGGTTTTTCGAAATCCGACCCTTACACACCCAGTTTCGAATTTTTTCGAAATTTTTTGGGCTCAAAAAATTTCTAATTTTTTACTCTATTTTATAAAGCAAACCCCATCACATTCCGATAATCCCACAAAAAGTTATTCAAAATTGAAAAATCCCGAATATCCCCCGAAAGGGGTACCCCTTTTGAAAAATTCGAGGGGTCAAAAATTTTCGAATTTTGAGCAAAAAATATCCTATATGGTGCATTGATATGCGCTAAATCCATATCAGGTGTCAGAAAAATTCTAAAAAATTTTTCAAAAAAGTTATAGTCCAAAAAATTTTCGCGACATTTGCGAACCCTGGCCATAACTTTTTCAGACTCAAACAGACCCCCGACATATTATACCTTTTTCGGAGATTTAGACTTTATCTTTTATCCCATTAGACTCCCCTGATAATCCCCTCTTGAATGACTACCCACTTGCGAATATCCCCAAACCCCGAAAATCCCGGATTTCGAAGTTCGAACACCGAACTTCGAATTTCGACATTATCCCTTATCCCATTAGACTCCCCTCATTATCCCCTCTTGAATGAATACTCATTCGACCATGCTTCCCATTCCCGAAAATACCGGATTTCGAAGTTCGAACTCCAAACTTTGAATTTCGACTTAATCCTTTATCCCATTAGACTCCCCTGATCATCCCCTCTTGAATGACTACCCTCTTGCCCATATCCCCAACCCCCGAAAATACCGGATTTCGAAGTTCGAACTCCGAACTTCGACTTTCATACTTATCCCTTATCCCATTAGACTCCCCTGATCATTCCCTCTTGAATGACTACCCACTCACCCATATCCACAAATCCCGAAAATACCGGATTTCGAATTTCGAACTCCGAAACTCGACTTTCGGCTTTACCATATATCCCATTCAACTCCCCCTCATTATCCGCTTTCGAATGACTACTCATTCGACCATATTCGAAAATCCCTAAAAATCCCGAAATCCCGGATCCCTAATTTCGAATTCCCCCTTATTGCACTATCAATAAACCCTCCCTCAACTCGAAACTTGCTTAAGTTTCGAAATCCCACTATTTTCACTCGAAATTTCTCCTATCCATCAAAATTTCTCTCTCACCTATGAGATTTGCCTCCTGGCTTTCCTCAATTTAGAGAAATCCGACAATTATCGGTAGGACCGTTCTCTTACAGAAATTTTTGCCCCCCTATAAGTACCCCCAAGTTCGAATTTCGAATTTGAAATTTTTCCTACATATATCTACATGTTCCAACTTGAGTGCCTCCCAGCAGAAGTTTTTCGGTATCTTTATCCGTTTTCGAGTTATTTTCGAAAAACTCGAATTTTAAATACCGACACACCCGACAATTCACCGGAAATGTCTGATTCTTTGCTCACGCATAAGTACCCTTGAAATTTGAATTTCGACTTCGGGTTTTTTGCAATCGACATTGTCTATTGATGCTTAAGTGCCCTCCCGTTAGTCCGACACGCGTATCTGTACCCAGTCCCGAGATATCCCCGGTACCTCTATTATTTAGGTACCAAGGGGTTCCTAAAATTTTCCGTCCTTATTTTTCCCAAATGCCCAATAAGATTTGACCCCGGACATGTAAAACTTTCAGCCCATTATCTCAACTCTGTAAAGAGTTCTAAATTTTTGTAGCGATTTTACCAATACTTTT